CCATATCTTGATACTTATATAGGGATAGTATCGGAATTGGTGGTACGAGATCACTTTGCATATATTTGGTTTCACTCTTTCTGCACCAACTTGCGGTCTTCTATATAATTTTTTTTATATCTTCTCTACACGATAGAGGCCGATATTTTAATAAATTTTATAGTGGCCATATGCATATATTGTTATACCATTTTCATGTATGTTTGTCATCGAAGCAAGATAATGACACTTTATCAAGCTCATAACTTCCATGTTAATGACTGATGCTTCGAATTGTATTCATTTTATGATATATTTGTTTATTACCCAATCAAGTGTTTTTTTTAATCTTCATGTTTGAGATCTTTTTTAATTACACATTTTTTTGTACCTTTTGCTGTTGTGTCACTTTTGGAATTATCTTTCGTATAGGAATACATTTTGGATCTCAGTCCAACAAACTCAGAAATAGGAATACCAGTGGCTTCATCTTTGAATTTTCCAATAACTTTCTTATTTGTTTTATCGAAATATTTAGAGTCTGCTGCGTAATCACCAATATCAAGCCTGTCTTTATTATTCCAAACGTCTCTATATACGTCTTCAGCTTCGATCTCATATGTTAGTGAATCTGTGTCAGTAAATAATAATTTGGCTTTATTGAGGTATTTTTGTCTAATGTAATTATAAGGATAATCATACATTAGAGTTTTAGACAGATCGAGAATACACATGCCAACATAAGCAGGCCGATCAAGAGTGAGTGTTTCTTATGCACAGCTACCAGATTTTTATTGTATATTTTGGAAGATATATAAGTTGGTTTCGAGGCTAACTTAAGTAGCCGGTCTTTGCTTGTAACCAGTTTAACATCTGCTCTTTTTCGGATATTGTCCATTGTGTTTCCAAATACGGAATTCATCAATGTAAAGAAATCTTTTTTCAATGAGTTTTTTGCATTTGTTCTTTTCTGTGTATTAAAGTCGATGTATTGTTTTAACCAAGGGGACTGATTGAATTTAAGAACCCTGTGAATCTTTATTAGTTTTAAACCAAGATCAAGATACAATTGAAGGTTTCGGCAATGAAGTACATATTTTTCTTTGTTGCTCAAAGTTGGAATCAGTTTCGCCCTTGTCCAATGGTAATACTATACTTTTGTCTGGTTGTTTCACAGTAATTGGAAAGCATATTCTTATTTAGTTTTTTCTTTCGGGAACAACAAGGTATTCATTATGCAGATTATGTAACTCTAGTGGATATTCAAGGTCATCTTCCAAGATCAATCCTTTTTTGTTATCTTCAGCGTATTTTGCCAGATTAATGTCATCAACCTTCTTCCATTTGAAGCCTCCCGTTGGAAAAGGGTCTGGTAGGGAGGGGAGGTCTGGTGCAGTTTTCAAGGACTGCAAACTCTGTGGGAATCCCTTCGCCCACAGGTAACTCCTTCCTGTACATATTTAATGGTAAAGTTCCTACAGCATGTTTTGTCAGCTGGCTCACAGCCTTACCATGCTCCTGGGCCCATTCCCTCATAGTACGTCGGTCACTTTTAGACATGGTTTTCACAGGTAACTGTTTCATTTTTCGAATATCCTTCAAAACAATTTTGTTTTCAGGAACTGGATAGTATGACTCGGCGTGTGTGAAGTAAAATGCTGCCCAATTGGTTGTGCGTTTAAGGGATTCGTGCATTGTATTTCCAAAGTCTCTTGCATATTCTAAAACTGCCCAGGCTGGATGTTTTAAGTGGCTAACAGCATGAAGAATATCGACTTGCACTGTGAGGCACACCTCAAGCTTGATCTTGAAGTCAGGATTTACTTCTGCAGTGAAATTAATATCAATTTTTTCCAATCCTTTCTCTACCAATTCGAGTGATGTTGCCGTTTTGGTGGAGATGCTCCCTTCTCAGCCATTGGTGACTCAGTTTGAGTTGATGGTAGTCTTGACATTGTCAACAGTGGATTTAAAGTAGGTTGAAACAGCCTTCACTATTTCATGCGCCACTTTCAGTGTGTGCTGTTCACGTGGCTGATGCTTGAATTGCACGGAAAATGCCATGGTAAAACCTCCCAAGATTTTCTAAGAACTCCACTGTCCCTCTAATTGTAGTCTTTAATTTTACAGTGCCAATCTGACCATCTGTAACGAATAAACTGCTTTCTTCTGTACAGAGACCCATTGGTTTTCCAGAGGCTTCCAGATCCATTTTTGTTGTTTTCTTCACCAGTGCCTCTTATTAATACGACATTGCCACTTTCCTAGAGTTGTTTCACCTGCCTGCTCTCAACGTCCGTAAAGACCATATCAAATTTGGTTAAAAGAATTCGATGAGAATTCTTGAAAATTGGACATGAATATCAGTCACAGAGGTCATAGAGGTCAAACGTGGTCAGGTACGGAACATAACAATGGACTCGGTTACCTTATACATGTATAACAATGGCAAAAGTCCTATTTTGAACCATCTTGACAGACAATTTGCATGTACTCGTGTAGGGCTATCCAGTTTTCACGACATTTCATCTGCTTTCTCGGTAGATATCTCGATTCACGGACTAAAATGTTGGAGGATCACGCGTCACAGTATATATATAATTCACCAATCACCAATGTATTTCATGCGTTTTCCCAATTCACGCTCTGTTTACCGGTCTATTCACGGATCACGCGAAACCCCCTCCAGACCCTGTTGGAAGATATTTCGACATAGCTCATCCATACAGATTATTAGCATCCAGATATATCATATATTTTGAGGGCGCCTTCTCATCGTAATTGGTCATGTATTTGTTATTGTCTTGTCCATATCTATTTGCAATATAGCTAATTCCACCGCGCAACCCTTTTTCGATGAATTGGAACATGTCAATATCAGTCATCAGTTCAAGTTGGATATTTGTCATTTTTAAAATAGCATCCCATGATAGTCCTGGAATTGTGAAATAATGGCATGGATCAAGTTTGCAGTACTGCAAACAGGTCTTTCTGAAATTCTCAAATACATCGGCAAGGAAAAGAATATCAGACATGGTATTCACCCATTGATTTCATATCCAGGGTTTTCCATATACCGTAAAATTCCGAAAATAAGCCCCGGCGCTTATATTTTTCAAAGGCCCTTTTTGAGGGGCTTATTTTTGCGTTTCAAAACCGATAGGGCTAGGCTCATAGTTGGAAGTAAATTTACCGTTTTTGCTTTGTTTTACTTTGTATTTGGGGGCAATTTTCCAAGTACAAGCCCCCGGGGGGCTTATATTTGGAGGGGCGATTTAACGGAGGGTTTTTTGTGTTACCGGTTTGGGGGGCTTATATTTGGGGGGGCTTATACATGGAGGGGCTTATTTTCGGAATTTTACGGTATTTGTTGCATGTTGATTCAGCTCATCAGTCAAGTGTTCATTACTCAGCATACTATAAAATTCGTTTTTTCCGGAAGCTGTTTATTATCAAATTTGCTGAAACTGTCCATATAGTCATAACTAAGGATAAACACCTTTTTGTCTCCCAAGCATAAATGCCATATATTTTTCCACATTATTTGGAATTACATTTATATCAAATTGTTGTTTTTGGATTTTTTTATCTATATATCTGTTTTTTTGGCTATTTTACCGATTTCCTGTATAATAAAATGTGAATCATATCCTCTCAGGTTGTGGAAAATAGCTGGGATTTTCTTTTCTTCAGGTTTTATTCGGAGTCTTAAATTACAATCTTGATGTGCTGATCCTCTGAAATTCCCGGTAATATGACAAAGGTCTCTGACTTTAATATCTCTCGCTGTGTTTTTTTTGGGGGGAAATATGACACTCACTTGCGTTTTGAAAGTTTTGCTCATCTTCATCGGTCATTATTTTTTGATTCTCTGCGGATATTTTTCCTGTGTGTTTAAATGTCTGATATGGCACCATCTGAAACCCTAATTGTCTTTGCTTTGGAGGTTTATCAATCCTTTGCTTGAATTTTGAAGCTCGGGTGGTAGTTTAATATAAGATGATCCTTTCAATGGATTATAAACAACACTGTTGATATAGTGATCATTGATAGACACAACTGTCCAGCCAGATCCATCTGATAACGTAACCAAACAGTAATACCATTCAAGATCTATTGTTCCGATGTTTGCAATTCTCTGCCTATTTCATTCTCATTTATTATGATTTATGTTTTGCTGTTAAAATATGATGTTTTATAGAGGTTTGTTTCTCCAGCAGCCCTTTTAAAGGTGATTTTGAGTCTCATTGAATTTAAACCCCTGAGTCTCACCTAAGATGGTTTTGAACCTATGTTCAATAGCTTTTCTTGTATTTTGTAATTGCGGCAATGGATCTTGTTGGTTTTTTAACTTAACTGGGGAATGATTTTCTGAAACCCTTGAGGGCTTTTTTCTCTACCCTATTTTAGTCCTTAGAGAGGCAGCTGGTTTTTTGGTTCTTGGAGCTGGAAATGGTTTGTAATCATCTCTGAATTCTATTGGTGGAGGGATGATATTGTTTTCACATTCTTCAACCATCTGTTTGACAGTTTTCCGAAGTGCGGGAACTGGTTTATCGATAACAAATTTTATATTTGAATATTGTTTACTGATGTTCTTGATTGATTGATTGATTGATCAAGATTATTTCTTGGTGTTGGAATAGGCTTTTTTTATTGATTTTCTTAGATTGACTAATTGCTCGGGTTTTTTTCAGTCAATCCTGATAATAATTCTCGAATTAATTTACTACGGTTATTCATATCCTCAGCTGAGACAACTTTTTCTGATTTTTTCCAGTATATATTAATATTTATATATAATCACCAAACCTTTAAGCAAGGAAAACTCTTTTTAAAAAAAAAAAAAAACATTTATATATAAATACCCGAGAGGGGAAAATTTCAGTAAGAGAGTGCGTTTATAATATATATTCACCCGACATGTTGTGAAACAAATTCTAAGTAAATGGAAAAAATTAACATACTGGACATACATGTATGGTCTGTATGCAGTGTGCGGTTAGAAAAAGTGGTCAAAAAATGGTAAAACATGTTTTGTTCATCACTTTGTTTGGGAATGTTTTAATGGAATAATACCAGAGAACAAGGTAATTGATCATATTAATAATAATAAACAAGATAATAGATTATGTAATTTGCAATTAATGACCCAACAAGAGAATTGTCAAAAATCGGCAAAAAATCGTGATTATACATTTGGTCCTAAAAATTGTCAAAATAAAAAGTGCGTCAAAGCTATTAACCGGACTACACTAGAGATAACTTACCATTAATAATAGTATGTATGCAGTTCAGCAACATCTTGGTATCAATGCTGGTATTATTAAGATGATTTGTGAAGGAATAAATAGATGTAAATCGGGTAATTCGAAAAAAGATGGTCAACGATATAAATTTGAATATATCAATCCTGAGACTACGCCTGATGATTATAAAAAATCAACACAAACTGGTCAAAAAAGACAAAAATTACTAACAGATGTGGATGAAAAATTACATGTTATGAAATTTGGAAGACAACCCTATGGTCCGTTTAGATATAATACTAATGAAGAGAGAAAACAAGCCAGAAAGGCTCAAAAAACAAGATATATTCTCGCTACTGCCTTAATAAGCACAATTATACACCTGCTGGAAAAACCAGGCATTTAACTACACAATTACATAAAAATAAAGCTGAAAGATTAGAAGCAACCAAAAAGACATCAATTAACTTTTCATAATTCAAAAGATCCATTTTTGGGATGTTTTAAGAGCAACTGTCTGTAAAAATAGGTACGCAATGCGTACAGTTGTCTACTGCGAAAGTTCAGGTAATGGAGCAAAATAAGTGTTGAAATTTAGGTTTCCTTTTATCAAAACTTGAAGAGGGTATTTGTGCTATTTTGTCGTATTGTTTGAGACCTATTTCAATGTGACAGTGTGTACTGTGTCGTTGTTTTGTTTTATAAAGGTAGCGTTTGTTTTGCTATTGTAATATAGATGCTCGTGTATCTTGGCAAGAGTGTTTAAAAGAAATACGACATTTACGTCAAACGCAATTAATAGGGGGGGGGGGGGTCTTGCGCTATTTAGACAAACATTTTTTATCGTTCGTGTACCTTTTTCGCGGTATCTTAAATTCCGCATACAGCTTGCGAGAAGGCCTTTTTTTAGACAATTTGGGTGATTTGTCTTAAGAAATGTTGATCAGCCAATATGTTATGTACATTAGATGTAGTGCATGGTTCCCGAGATGACCCGATATTTATGTACTTTCAACGATTTTACTTGAGAAATGTTTGGATACAATTTAAACAGGTACAATAAATGGTTCCTCGTTTCTTTTGCATACAAATACACTTTATGTAGTGCAATCTGTTTTCTGCTGTTCGCTTGACACACTATTGTATTTTCAGTTTCAATAATTAAAGATACGAGAAAACCAGTAGTTGAAAATACACTTGATTATTATAATATATTTCACAGTTGTACAAAGTAAATGTAAGCTTCAGCTATCGTATTTTGTTTGTAACCTTAGAAAGACTTTTAATATATTCTTTACTTGACATTTCTAATTCCGATTACTCTATTCTATAATTTTGAGAACTATCATAGAAATGTTTTTATAATCAATTTTTAAGATTTGCACTGACTACCACTGAAGTGTGATGGTATAGAAAAAGTGAAAAAGTTTTGTCTGACTATTTAGTATTCTCTAGAAGTTCGATTATGTGATTGGACTGTGTATTAATTTTCATTTTAATATTTTCAATTTGAAGTAATCTTTCCGCTATTTGATCTGTGTTGGTATCTCTGGTAAGGCTTATTCTGAACAATAAGCTTTCCATGACATCTGTCAGAGCAGTAAGCCAGCAATCTTCTCCGTCTATTTCGGCGCGAAGGCGTGCAGACATTCCGTTTTCTGCCGCTTTAACTTTTTGACTAGTTCCACATGAAGTGCATTTGAGAACAGTTGAGCCCACTGCATGCGGCATTTTTTTCTTGCAAGACTTTATCTGACATGTCATGAAGACATTTACTTTATCAACAAATTTGAATTCTTTAATAACAATTTCCTTCTCAGTATTTGAAAGAAGCTGTGGGCCTTTCACTTCAGTTAGTTGGAGGTCTACTTTTTGGAATGTTGTTGTTGGTGTGGTACCCAGTAAGGTCATTCCTGAATAATTCTTCACGCTAAGATTTTGGAAGCTGTAAGTGTTTCCACTCTCTACTTGGGTTAGCGAGTTATCCAGTTGTATAAAAAGTAAAGTAAAGTGAAGTAAAGTGAAGTAAAGTTGTATAGTGGCAGAACCAGTGCGATCTTCAATCACACAGTCTTCTTTTACGTATCCCTTTTCGCCATTGCGTTTAATGACCTCTTTCTTTGGATTTTGGCCAGGTGTTAGGTGGCCTTGTAAATAAACGTTTTGATTTCTTGTCAGAGTTTGGATTTCATTCAGTGTTATATCTGTCGCACTGGAGATTGCTTCCTTCGCTTCCCCTTGCTTTGTCGATGGAGCTGTGCACAGAAAGTTACACAGAAATCACTGCTGCTAGCTTGGACAATTGAGCTTGTTTGGTTGACAAAGATTGTATCTTCTTTTTTATTACTATTGACAACTTTAGCTGGACTTTTGTAACCTGGAAATGCAATGCCTGAGCATGTAAATTCTTGTCAAATCCAACCACTCTTGTGAATTTAGTTGGTGATGTTTGAAGGTCAAAATTCTAGTACAATTTTCCAGACCTTACCTATTTAATGGGCGATAATGAGTGAACGTAACCAACGTTACTATCTGCAATAGAGAAATAATATGGTGAGAAACATATATTAGAAGTGGAGAAGAGGATATAAAGATAATGTAATGAGAGTGGAAGTAACATTAAGCAGCATGAAGCTGTTGGTTATTATTGATCTGTAAACAGCAAAATTTAGGGAATTTTTCTTTATCAGTCTTTTTGCAAATAAATTCTATAATTGTTATTAAATTGAAATAGTTTAATATATTACGTCAGTTGCAGTAATAAAAAAGTAGCAGATTTTGAATTTTTTACTAAAAGAAGACCTTTGCTGCATGAAAATGTATTGAGTTGTATTGAATGTAATTTAGGTACGTTGTGATGATATTGACCAACAGTTAATATCTAAGAGTAATGTTTTTATATATTACGTACTTTTATATATATCTTATCTAAGGAAACGCTTCGTGAATTTGCAAAGTGACGGATAATTTACTTGGCCGCTTACCTTTTCGCTTTGAACTCTCAGCCATTCTTCTCAGCTGATGAAAAAAAAGGAAGGGAAGGGTTTAAAAAAATGCTTCAATAAAAAAAATGTGAGATCTTATTACACCACCACTTGGAAATAACACATGGAATAATTTGGGCAAGTTACAACATGCGATTTCTGAAAGATTTTTTTCAATAGCCGTTTGTCTCTACACCCATCGTTTTCATTGGCCCTTCTTTTTCTCATATATGTCGTGAAATAATCTTTTTTGTGATATTCAATCGCGAAAGAACTCTTCGATTCATGTATGCTAGTGCTGCAACTGTTTGTTATTTGTGTTCTAAATAATTCTGGAACATCTGGAACTGTAGAGACATAATTAACCTCATTTATGCGGCCTAAGTAAATAGTCCTTTGTTCTCCTTGTAAGGTCACGGCAGGTTCAATTATTGTCCTTTCTGTAAAATTTTGATGAGATTCTATGATATGTAGTGTTATACCAAGTGCATTTGCTACAGCCTGCACTATGAGACCATCACACCCTGTTCGTTGCATGGACATAGTATTTAAATAGCCTAACCATGAATTTGCAACATTGCTCTCAATAAATTCTTCTGGGTACTCCCTAAGATACTGAATACTAGCATCTCGAATTGCAAAATGACAATCTGGAGTGCCACACGACTGATGTGAAACAACTTTAAAAAAACAATCTCTATCACCGCAAACATCTAGTGGCCTTAAGCCGATCGTTCTTAATCTTTGTGTTAATACAGCAAATGGCAATTGTGTGGGTCCTGGATTCAGTTCAATATCACCGGAAATTAACAGTTTCCTTCTTGCTATACGAAATATATCTTGAAGTAGTGATGACCTTAATGAGACATGTAATTTACTCTCTCTGCAAAAAAAAGGAATTTGAGTACGAAATAATTGGATATCTCTTTAAAATCTTTCGTCCTGAGGAGCTTATCTTATCAAATGAACTGTTTTTGATTTCTTTGTTTTTCGCTGCGATACTCAAGGAGACTACCTTAATATTACGACGCGTACAATAAAACTGCTGAAGAAACAATCGTTTCTAAATTTATGCATCACATAGTAAGATTTATAGTTAGCTGCTATGCTTCTTAGTCTAGATGAACGGGGACACAAATTCCTGAGTCATAATTTTAGAGTTCTTCGAATCACTCCATTCGTTTCTTCATTGACTTTAAAATCTTTTTCAAATTTATCCTAGATGGTTCACGGCTCCTACTTTTATACGTTTTGTAACCTCTTTCTCTTTGTCTTACTGTTTTCCTCCAATTATTGTCATGAAGATCTACTTCATGCAAGTATGTAACATATACATCACGACCTCCGTCGCCCTTGGTCAAGTGCAAGCTCACCATATGTTGACTTTTGTCACACAGAGTCAAGAGAACATCGATAAATTTCATACGATACTTGTATTTAACAGATTCTGTAAAGTTTAAAGAAAATTGAAGATTTAGGACAGGAATATATGGAAACAGTTTTCTTGAAGTCAATTTACTCTTGTGAAATGTGCAAACTAATTTGTGGCAAATCAAGTTGACATATTTTGTATTGCTGTTGCGCAAAACTGCATTCGCTCGCATTCCTTTCTGACTGCAAAACTCTGTAACTTTTACACATTTAGAAAGATCGAGAACGTATGGAAGGTAAAAACGGTAACTAAAAGACAATAGATTTGAAAACAACTCAAAGTATACAGAAGAAAGTGCAAAATTTGGGAAAGGAATATAGGAAAAAAGATCTCTTAAATCCAATTTATTCTTGTGGACAGGATAAAGATATTTTTTAACAATTGCCCGCATTCCTTCCCGACTACAGAACTCTGCCTGATCACTTACACAATTGGCGAGATCGAGATAATATGGAAGGTAAAAACGGTAACTAAAAGACAATAAATATGAAAATAGCCCAAAATTAAAGTTAAAGAAACAAACATACTGTTCTGGAGAGCTCACAACTCTTAGAAAGCTTACTCGACTTTTTTTGCTTTTCTCTAATGAGTAGGACATTTTATTTGTTATCTGCTTTTGTAACCGTGCTAGTGTGCCTCGAGTTTGAGACCAAAGTGGGTCGATTTGTGCCCGAAGTGGGTCTATTTTTGACCAAAGTGGGTCGCTTTGTCAATTTCTAAACATCTTCAAGGTTCTGTGAACAACAGACAGCGTTGTTTCGTCGAGTGCTAGAAGAAAGCAGTTACGATTCATGACTCATTCATTGGCCGATTAAACTTCTGCGAAGTAAGTAACGCTCCAAAACATTAAATTGTTCCTCCAACTTTTTACGTGAAAAGTTAACTACAAAAACAAATTACAAAACTAAAACTTACCCTCAGCAAAACACGCTTCGTATATCCCCACTGCTCTGAAGTCTTAACCGCACGCCCGAACAGCATACAATGACTGCACTGACTTACCTCGTTCCATGACTTGAGTTTATAGGAATTTATGTTTGGACATATTTCATCGCTCTGTTTCACTTGTGATTGGTTGAGATTGGAAATGCGATAATTTATTGATTACCTACAAATCATCGATTTTAACAAACTTTTTCTTCAGTTTTCATGATGTTCATGGCTTCGTGTCTTCTGCGCAAGCGCAGTAAACACAAAAATCGAGCAAAATCGAAATTTCGTTTATATCTTGTCCATAGTAAGGTAATACCAAGAAACTAATCGTGGTGTAGTTTGTTTTTCAAAAGGCCGCCTCGATTTGGAGAAAATCGACAAAATCAATTTTTCGAGGTCGGTGGCTTGAAAACAACCACAAGTTGAGTCAAAATGAGGCGTTCTCGAAAGTTCGCTTGCAGGCAGAAAGGAAGAAAGCAGAGCAAAATATTCAAAGGTTTTTACTTCTAGTTTAGTGGCGCATTTTTAACTTCGCGATAATCTGGAAGTTAAAAATTTTTATTTTAGTTTGGATACTTTTTCAACCGACCGAAGTTTAAATTTTTGCTGCGAGTTGCATTTTAAATTTTAGGCATATGCTACACATTGGATTAAACTGAAACTCAGCCTATAAGTTATTAAAACATTGTGCTAAAACTTCTGTAAGAACTGGCTTGGGTAATTCCACACGAACGTTCTGAAGTTGAATAAATTTCGCCTGAAATATGAGAGTTTTCATTCAATGATCGTCAGTTTGTTGTTGCTGGACAACACACGAGGGCTTTACGCCTCGGCTAAAAACTTAAACGAAGCTTAACCCACAATTGCACTTGTAAGCTTAAGAGATCTGTACTGGAACATTTTTTTACCTCAATGCTTTTTCCTTTATGGTTAATTTGAATCTTTTTTTCTGCTGATTTCTTAGTCCACAGGCCTCCCAGACGTAGTGTGTGTCAATATATTTACATTCACATGGACAAAATGGGATGAGTCGTCGAAACTCCCATGAGCTAAAATAGTCCAAAAGTCAAAATATAACAAAACAAAGCTAAGGTACCTTTAACTGAACATCTCCTTGTCTTTCATGGCCGGTTAAAGCGGCATTTTGTTGAGTTTCGCAATCGTAGGTACTATCCACTAAAGAAGAATTAAAGGCTGGCTACAAAACAAACGGCCCATCTCCACGTGCCTTCACGCGAAGCGCTATAAATTTGAGAATAATAGACGAATCCGCTCCAAATTGCCATCGGCTAATCTGCAGGTAACGTATGCTCCGGCTTCTTGCTCGCTGGCTCCACACAAATCATCGCAACTGCACAATAATCTTTCGCTCATCAACAAACACTGTTGCCCTTTACGCTTCGATATGAAAGCAAACTGCCAGGATTACTACACGTCGTGAATATTCAAGCTTAGCGATCGTGTCCGCGCGACAATGCATCATTTGCTATGGGAGGGATGGTACAATTGCTTCTAGGTAAATCAATCGATTTATTCGCCCTGAAAACTAATCCCGAAATGGCTACCTTGGTGTTTGAAGCGTCACCTTCAATTTAAAGAGCCAGATTAACAATGCCTTCCGCTTTCAATCTAGGTTCTTGGGAATTTACGTCGTTGGAGCTCTTACGGTAAAATTCTTCCTGAACAACATTACGAACCAAACAATGGCAAATTTGCAAACTACTGTCACACGCCTCGGAATCATGGTTTTAAGCAAGTGTTTTGGTGCTTATCATCACAGCGACATTTTGGAGCGCTCACGCTGAAGTTCGCGCTGAAACCAATTGTGGCCCAAAAGATGGCCAATTTCCAATACTTTGTCACAGGCCTCTTATTCATTGTTTTCTGCCAGTCATTAAGTGCGCATGATGTGAGCAACATTTTAGAGCCCTTACAGTGAAATTCTTACTTAACAAAATTATGACTCATAAGATGGCTAGTTTGGAAAATACTGTCACACTCAGAATCATCGTCCTCTCCTAGTCTTATGCTGCTTATTATCACAACAAAACTTTGGAGCTCTTACCTTAAACTTGTCACTTAACCCTATTATGACCCTCACACGCCGAAGAACTATCGCTCTCTGCTAGTGTTATAGTGCTTACCATCAGAACCACACTTTGAAGCTCTGACCGTGAAATTGTTACGTAACCTCATTACCACCCAAAAGATTGCTAATTTTAAAAACATTTGGTCACGCGCCTCCGAATCATCGTTTTTGTCTAGTTATTTGGTGCTTATTGTCAAGCCGACATTTTGGAGCTGTTAGCGTGAAATTCTCGCTGAACCCCACTACTGCCCAAAAGATGACCAATTTTCAAAAAACTGTCAGACACCTCAAAATAATCGTTCTTAGCTTGTCTTATGGTGTTTATCATCAGAGCGTGTTTTTGGAGCTCCTACGGTAAACATCTCGCTAAACACCATTACTAAACAAAAGATGCTCAATTTGCAAAATACTGCTACACGCCTCTGAATCATCGTTTTCAGCTAGACTTATGGTGCTTGCCATCAGAACGACACTTTGAAGCTCTTACCGTGAAATTGTCGCTTAACGCCATTACGACCCAAAAGATTGCAGATTTCCAAAATTTTGTCACATGCCACTGAATCATCGTTTTCATCCAGTTATTTCGTGCTTATCGCCAGAGTGACATTTTGGAGCTGTTAGTGTGAAATTCTCGCTGAACCCTATTACTGCCCAAAAGATGGCCAATTTGCGAAACACTGTCAGACGCCTCATAATAATCCTTCTTGTTTTTCTTGCTTATCATCAGACCGTCATTTTGGAGCTCTTACGGTAAAATTCTCGCTGAACCCCATTACGAAGCAAACGATAACCAATTTACAAAATACTGTCACACGCCTCGAAATCATCGTTTTCAGCAAGTGTTTTGGTGCTGATCATCAAAGCGAATTTTTTGAGCTCTTACGGTGAAATTTGCACTGAACCCCATCGTGGCCCAAAACATGGCCAATTTGAAACACACTGTCACAGGCCTCTTATTCACCGTTTTCCGCTACTTTCTTTGTGCGTATCATGTAAGCAACATTTTGGAGTCCTTACAGTGAAATTCGTACTTAAAGAAATTACGACTCATAAGATGGCCGGTTTGGAAAATATTGTCACACGCCTCAGAATCATCGTTCTCTGCTACCATCAGAACAACACTTTGGAGCTCTTACCGTGAAATTCTCACTTAACGCCATTAGGACCAAAGAGATGGCCGATTTGCAAAATTCTTTCACACTCCCATAAATCATCGTTTACACTTAGTTATTTGGTGCTTATCGTCTGAGCGACACTTTAGAGATATTAGTGTGAAATTCTCGCAGAACTGCATTACTGCCTAGAAGATGACCAATTTGCAAAACAGTGTCAGACGCCTCAAAATAATCCTTGCTAGCTTGTTATTCTTGCTTATCATCAGAGCGTCAATTTGGAGGCCTTACGGTAAAAATCTCGCTGATCCCCGTTACGACCAAAAAGATGACCAATTGCAAAGTACCGTCAAAAACCTCTCAATCTTCGTATTCACCTAGTTTTTTGGTGCCTTTCCTCAAACCGACATTTTAGAACTGTTACTTTAAAATTCTTATTGAACCCCATTACGAAGTAAACGATGACCAATTTGCAAAATACTGTCAAACGCCTTGAAATCATCGTTTTCTGGAAGTCTTTTGCTAATGATCATCACAGCGACATTTTGGAGTTTTTACTATAAAAATCACACCGAACCCCATTGTGGCCCAAAATATGGCCAATTTGCAAAACACTTTCAAAGGCCTTTTATTCACCGTTTTCCGCTGGTCTCTTTGTGCGTATCGTGTAAGCAACACTTTGGAGTCCTTACTGTGAAATTTTTACATAACCAAATTACGATTCATAAGATGGCCAGTTTGGAAAATATTGTCACACTCCTCAGAACCATCGTTCTCTGTTACTCCTATAGTGCTTACCATCAGTAGGACACTCTGGAGCTCTTACCGAGAAATTGTCACTTAACCCCATTTTGACGCAAAAGATGGCCGATTTGCAAAATTCTGTCACACGCCTCTAAATTTTCGTTTTCA